CCATGAAAACCTCATAAACATCCAATATGCCTCCAAAGAAACCCCAATGTGCTCTGTTGGAGACAGACTTTTTGGAACATTAGTCACTGGTTTGTCCTCAAAAAATTGAAGGACAGTTTTCAGAGCAAATCAGTATATGCAGTTGCATAATGATGTTCTATGCACATTTTCGTTTTTAGCAACAGCCACTGCCTCAAGCTGGTTCATGGTGATGCTAAATACAACAATGAAGTGAGGCCCTTTTCTAACATGAGTCCAAATATTGGAATCAACACCTCTCATCCCTTTGTAAGATAATTTGACACATCTGATCCTACGAATGACAAAAAAGCATATTAAAAATTAACTCCTGAGTTTATTAATAAACAACCACAAGTTGCTTTTAAACCTAAAAACATGAAAGTAATTAGATGTTTCTATAAATAGTGGTTTCAAGACACAGAAGGCGTTTTTAAAGCTTTATCTAAAAATACATTTTTAAAAAGGCTTGACACTGTCTCAACAGTCATTACATGTTATTATACCTATATTATCCTGCGGCCCAATTTGGGCCAGGTACTTCCACCTTAATGCTTAAAAATCCCAGGAGTATTACCATCACCAGGTAAAATCCTCAGGTAGATTAACCCTGCAGGGAAACCTCAGATATTCTGGCACAAGAGGATGCATAGGTGATGGGTTTGGGGGTTATAAGGATGTGGACCATGACCTCTAGAAGTGCTCGGGCTGAAGGTGACCGGCAGTTTGAAATGTCAAGTTTAGAGGGACTCTGTAGACAGGCCTTTCATTTGCCCTCTTAGTCTACATACATACAGACATTCGGTTTCTCCTGGGAGAGCTGCTCCTCCCCTATGAGAAACCATGAGTGTACAGATGTTCAAGATTTTTCTCCCAGAGCAAAAATGGTTGTACCAGGAGAAAAATAACCTGGGAATAACCAAGGTTAAATCGCTGTCAGGAGAGTTTCTGTGTCTGTACATGTTCTCTTCTGAGAGAAGCCACAGCACAGTCCTCTAGCGTCCCAGGGTACTTCCACTCCCATCCTTCCCGGGAAAAGTATGTCACTCATTGGACTCTGCTGCTTCAGCTGAGCAGGGAGCATAACACCCCACCTTGACAATACCACATTCCACAGGCTGACCTTGAGCAGTCTGGGACAGCCAATCAGGGCTGCTTTGTGCGCTGCTGCCATCTGTCTTCAGGCTAACTAAGGGAGCCTGCAGCGCACACTGAGATGCATGAACAGAGGCCCCTTGTCTGCGCAGTGTCTCAGGATAAGTTTTTCTACCAGGAAAATGAATCTGGGGTAATTCTCCCAGATCATTTGATTGTGCATACAGTAATCTAAGGTGTGTGTTTTTCTGTCACACTCTTCAGCAGAGCTTCATGTCTGAACCTACCGAAATACCAATAGGCATTTTCCACATGTTTACTTTTCCTCTTCTGTCCAGAATAAACCACTATGTGGCATAAAAAGTATCTGAAAACAGTAAGTGACATAAAGGAATGATTTCCTCTAGATTTTCTTCACACTTTAAAACCCCACATAAACCTAGAATGCCGCCAATTCCCGGCCTCTTGGCTTCTTTACTTTTCATTCCATCCAGGAGGAGCACACACCAACTGCTGAAACTTCCTTAGCCTGACGAAGGGTTTTTGAACCTGAAAACTTGCTTAATAACTATTCTCCAACTATTTGGGTTGGTCTAATAAAAGATATCAAATTCATCCAAGAAACCTTGTCTGCCAATTCCCGGACTAATTCTTCTGCCATTGGAGCCTTTGAGAGCGCTCTCAGCAAGAAAGCAGTAATAGCTCTTCCTTCAGTTGCTGTACCAGCCCAAGGAGGCCCTTTTTGTTTCTGACCAAGGAGTTGTGAACACCTTCACAGGGAGAAGGCTGGTGTAGATCCTGAGTTGCCCAGAGGCTTACGGCTGAGAAGGAAAATACTTTTGCCCCCTGTATGGGAGCAGAATGAGCTGGATCTACAACATCCTCAACTCAGAACACAGCAAAATCAGATTTTCTACTTGGATATAGTGTGCTATTTTACCAATGGTCTTTTAGGCTAGTCTACAAGACCCCTTTCTTAGGTACAATGGATGCCATTAAAGGGTAAGCGAAGGCCATGAAATAATATTGACTTTGCAGTGGTACATCAATATTTGGAAAGCACACCCCAATAAGCACTTATATTATCTTGCAGCCAGTCTTTACTTAAGGATACCCATTGCACGATTTGTATAGAACTGTAAAACCTTCTTTCCTACTATGCGCTGGTTTGTGTTCTTGGTGACACAGAAAAACCCAGGCAGTTTCTCAAAGCAAAACACAAATGATTCAGGAAATTTGCCTTTTGGAAGATTTAGAAAAATCAAGTACTGTACTTAGAACTGATAAATGAGCCCATTTACCTGTTCTGCAATACAAGTCTTTCCCAGTAGGTGGTAGGCTAACCAGCCAGTCTCTTGCACAGACTGCTTCCTAAGCTGATTAAACAACAGGAAATTTCCTTCTCAGATGTCCCATCAGACAGTAATTCAATTTCAAAAGATGACTCCTACCTGGCTAACATAATGGAGGCCATTTTGAGGATGCTAGAGGATAATATAAAGTGGCAGACAACCCTGAGAACAGACGCATGTGGACAGAATAGCAGTACTCTGATCAGTACTTAAGAAAGAGTGAACATTTCTGGAAAGTACTCCTCCTCCGTAGACAATGCTGCGCATTATGATATGTTTTCAGACCGGTGCTTGAAGAGCACTTGTGGAAAAGCATTGAATCCACGTTTGTATTTTGGCTTGCCTTTAAGTTATGGTTTATAATGTTTTTATGGCATGATGCATTCAGGGATTAAGTGTCAGTTAGGCTCTCTATTTTTTACATCTGTAGAAAGAAACAAACAATCAGCCAATAGGTCCATAGATATACTGCAAAATGAGAAACAATGCAGTGCCCAAGGAGGCATGGACAGAACATTTCTTTGCAATTGTAAAATCACATTGCCAAGATATCTATTTTGATGAATGCCAGAGAACAAAATTTGTATTTTCATTCCAGTCTAATCAGACTTGTAATATGCACGTTACATTTTCATACACACAGATAACTCTTTTTTTTAAATATATAAAATATCTCCCACTGCCATATCTGTATGACAGTTAATGCATACTGAGCTGTTATTAAGAGTGTTTTTGATTACTCTAATGTAATAAATGTACTACATTTAAAATGCCGTTACCTGTAGTGCCACTAGTAAAACAGACAATTGATAGATCTTCTGGTCGAGGAGGCTAGAAAAACACAAGGAAAACAAGAGACTTACAAGGTCACATCAATCAAAAATTATAGGGTCAATCATAGCAGTGGATTAGCCTTTGTACTCGTTTATCATACCAATCCGATTTCAACCCTGTCAGATAAAGTTTCTATCGTACGAGTCTCCCAATAGGAAGTAAATCGATTCTTTTCTCCTGGGTTTTACTCTAGATGTGTTAAGGAGCATGCTTTAATGTGGTTAGTCCATCATACAAGATCCTTGCCTAGGGAACATGCTATATTCCCTAATTAAAAAAGAAAAAAAACCCAACCCATAGCCCTTAAGCATCTGCACTGCAGCCATTTGAGTTACTAATTAAAATAGTATCCATCAAGAATTAGGCCCCTTTTGTTGTTTGGAAAAGCATTTAAAGCTACAGCTCTGGTTTTCATCAGTTCTGTTATTTAATAAGCATCTGAGAACTAGGGTGAACACAGGATTGTCTACAGAGTCTTCTCTTCAAGTATCCTCCGCTTGCTTGTTCCATGTTATGTTCTGTAAGTCACATGGATGTGTTTCTTCCTTCTAACTGGCGAACAACCAAAATAATAAACAGTACTTTTATTGTGCTAATTTTTTGCCAGAATGATTATTGGGGACAAAATAACATTTGGGACAGTTTTGGAATTTCCAAGCATTGTCATGCTTACTTAGAAGCATAAATAATTTGACCATGGGATATTATTAAATTCTCTGGGAAATCACATCTTTGCTCTTCATCCAGTCTTAATCTACACATTGAAGTTAAGATTTTCAAATGTGATCTCTCAGGCAGCAACGTGCTTGAGCATGGCGCACCCCCATTTCAGCTTATACACAGCAAATGGGAAAATGAAGTGGTGAAACTGCACCAAGGGCATTCTCCTCATTGTCCTTGAAACCTCTCTCCTCAGCGTATTTGAGAGCAGCTGTGGGGGGGACATTCCAGAGTGGTTCCAGAGACACGTTTTTGGCATGGCTGGGCAGGCCAGGTTCAAAAAATGTCCCTTCCTGATCTCTCCAGGGACACTGTGTAGGCATGTTTGGGTCCCTCTGTAATTAGAAACTAACTTTCAGAGCTACCAACAGACCCTCTTCTACATTTTAAATCAACAGTAGCTGTAAGAGCTGAGGATTTCTAAAATCCAGCCTGCTGTGAGTTGGGGTGCATCTGTGAAAAAGGTGTCTACTTTTGAAAATCTGGAAATGCTCAACATGCTGAGTCTTAGGAAATATGCACCAACGGGTTCTCCAGATTCTGAAGGGGAAAAAATCCACCCAGGGTGCATTGGTTAAGCTAGGCTAATACCACTTTAAATCAATGTGACTTAGCATTAGAATTTAATCATGCTGCAGAAAGCACGCTGTGCAGGGATGACACACGTCACCTTACGCTCGATCAGGAGATAACACATGACAGTGCTGCAGCCAACCATCGCAAGCTGCTGCTTCGCATTACTGTTTCTTTTCCGAAGGAACATTGACGATGAGTTGATGTGATATGGAATCAGAGAGAGTGTCACGAAAGCCATGAAAAGGACTTGCAACGCTGCTGCACAGAACACAAAATCCTCTTCCAATATAATTCTGTAATTGCTTTTTCAGGGTCCGGTCCTACACTATTGTTTTCAATAGGATAGACCTATAGAATGAAGCTACTCATGTGCATAAGTATTTGCAGGGCCTGTCCCTTATTTGTTTCAGGAAAGATATCTCAACAAGAATAAAACAGCCAAACACAGCTGCTTTATTCCCAGCACTATTAGTGACGCTATGCCGAGTAATTTAAATGCTAATATCAGGAAAATAAGGGATTTTACAATAAGGAGAAGTTGACTTTGTGCAGCGAGTCTCTTGGAGAGAAGGGTTATAAAAGCAGTTCTCCAATAAGAATTTACACTAAAGTAATAGTTATATACTGGATTTGCAGAACTGAAGGAGGAGGGATCTGTATTAAGTTTCCACCTTCAGCAACATTTTATTATAAAATGATTAGAGATGTCTATAAGCAGATCACAAAGATGGATTCCAGCATCATAGGGAAAGTCTTGTTGTCCTCACATGAGATACTCAGAAGTTTTGCCTGAGTAAGGATTCCAGGTGCAAAGACTCAATCACAATTGTTAAGGTCATTACATTAATTGTAGCCTGCATTGTAATTCTGTGCTTTGATTTATAATTAATTAAACGCACATGGATAAATCCTTACTTCATTTGGACAGTTCATGCAACCCAAATATGGATCTGAAAATGTGGAAGAACAAAAGGAGCAGCAATAAGTGGGAGCTGTTGGATTGCATTGGACACACTTAATGAATATTCTTGGGGTCTGATTCAAACCCCAGTGAAGTCAGCAGAGTAGGCCTGCTTGAAGTTTTTTTCCCTTCAAGAGGGTTTTTATTTTTCCCTAACAAGAAAATACTTTTTGAATAAAACACAAAGTTTACTGTAACCTGTAACTGCAATCTCAGCCTAGGGCAGCCAATCAGCCCCAACAAAAAAACTATTCCAAATTGGCCAGCTAGCACATCATCCTACCTAGTCAAAGCCAGCACACCCCCGAACCAAACCTTAAACCCCACCTTACACCCTCGCTGTTTTATTAGCCAAGGTTTGCAACAACCAGCCTCAATTCTAACAACAAAAAGGCAGGGGTGCTATCCTTTTTTTTAAAATGATAGTTAATCTGCTCTCGAAAAATGACACTACTATATGAATGTAATTTCTGAAATGTAAAGTCTGAAATAATGAATTTTTAGCAGATGTATAAAGATGATTAACCTAATTTACCTTGCTTATTTCTTTACTTTGCATTCACAAATCTCTTTAAAGTACAGTGAAGGATCTCGTATTCTAAAATGCTTTTCTTGAGCTTCTGCAATGCACTCCCGTTTAGCGTACTAGGCTAGAGTGTATGAAGCAAATAACATACATCTCAAAAATGGCAGTCCATTAATCAGACCATGGGAGGAAAATAATGAAATCTTCACTATCTGTCACCTCCTACTGAGGAATATTCTAGTCAGGACACCACGGCAAACTGAAGTCTTTCATTTCTGAAATGGGTTTACAGTAGTTATCTGCAAGCAAAAGCTGGAGACAAGAATGACTTGACTCACCACAGGGACATGCCGACTCTCACGGCCACAATCCTGCAATAATTAAATTAAGAAAAATTATTAGCACTCGCACCTGTGTGGGCTAATACAGAAACTGAGTATTAATAAAGGAAAAGGGACAGGAGCAGGAAAATCCTCTCTTGACATCTTTACAAGATGCAGTTTAAAAAAAGGTCTATTGGTAACAAGGGTGTAAAATAAAGTAAGTGGAATAGAAGAGAAAATGTAGCTGACCTGAGCCCTTGCTAATAATAATTTAACTTCATCCATAATAAACTGTTTTTTGCATTCTTGCGACTCCTGGATTTCACCAAATAATATTTGAATTGATTCTTGCTGGGTCAGTTATTTAATTGGCAAGTGCAATCATTTGAACTCTGCCAGGATAATTCACTTAAAGTAGATTTAAAATTGCCTGGCTTCAGTGCTGCTGACATCTTATCATTTACCGGGGAAGTGAGTCAAGGATTTCTGAAATTATGGATCCCCCCTTTGCCGAAAAGTAATATTAAGCAGCATCCTTTTATACTGCTTTGTTGCATGCTGTATCATATTAATAGGGTAGAAAAGAGGTTTTTGTTTGCCCTTGAGGGGTACTGGTCATTATCTTTATGCCAAGCCACATGTCCCAGTATATACTGACTGGTTTCAAGGGCACGTTAAAAGAGGGATAGAAACTGCACCTCCACTTCCTGCATGGACTGGATGCGCACTCCGCATTTTTTCCCTCTTTCTTTTAGGTCCTTCTCAAAAGGGTCCATCAGAATGATAGACTTCAAGCCCGGTGTTTCTCTTTTCTCCACATGATCCAGTAGTACTCTGACTTTATCTGGTTTATCACAAATTACTGTGGAAATATCAGCTGAGAAGAAAAAAAACAAAAAACAGGAGTTTTCAAAAAACCTTTGTTTCAATGTAAACACTGGCTTCATAGTGATCACTAATCAGTCTTTGACATGTTTTATATTTCTCCCGTTATATCTTGGAATTATCTATATTTTAATAATAAATGTTATATTTCATTTTAGTATTTAACCCTTGCTGTTATGAATCAATTCTGAACAGCACAGATGAGGACATGTGAAATCCATTGACTTTTAAAGCAAACATTGGCTCGCAGCACAACGAACAGCGTGGCAGGTACAATTATTTCAGGATTTGGTTAAAAAAATATCAAAACTGAGGGGACAAAGAAAACCCTGAATGGTACAGAATTCCTACTATAAACAGGATATTTAAAAAATGGTAGCAGCCAAAATTATAAAAGGAACAGCAGAGTAACACTGAGATAACAAGCTTTGCTGGATAGATCTTGTCAGTGTTTGACTGCTGTTGTGATCATGAACCATCCTGCAGCTACAAAAATCAAAGCAAAGCTCTCCTTCAGCCAACCTGAAATGCCATCTGCAAACTGTAGCTCCATTGGAGGTTTACGGGAAGTGGAGGTGAGGGAAAGGGGAGGGAGGACCTATTATCAATTTTTGTGGGCACAGGACATTTGTAACGTAAAGATGCAGTGCAAGGACAGTATGCAAAAGAGAAAAGTTGGTTTAAAAAGAACAGACAGATAGGATTCAATCTTCAAACTGCAGAAACAGTTAATTACACACTGACATCTTATATCAGCGCAGGATCTGGCCCATGGTTTACACAAAAATACAAATTAAAGTAGACTCCAGATGTCTTGAGGAAAATGAGGAAAAATGGTGTGTTCAGATTCTTGTTTTTCTTATTGAATATAAAGCTATCTGACATTAAAAATCTGTGCTGCTCTTCTACATTTGTATATCTTAGACTGGCCTTTAAAAACAATCCTATAGACTGGGACCAAAACAAAGTTTTTCCATTTTGCTTTTGCTATTCTAAATCCTAATCTCATGAAACACTTAAGTAGAAGCTTAACTTTGAGCATGAGACTTTAGTGCTTATAGCTGAGCATGTGCTGAAGTGCTCCTGCTCAGGACTTGCTCTTTTTGTAGGAAGAGTATCTCATTTTTTATGGGAATGCTGAGTTACATGATAGCACAGACCCTGCCATGCAAGAGAACCCAGTAGATGAGGCAGAATGGCAAGATCCCAAATCCATAATGTTCAAAGTAAAAAAGCAGGGTTATTATGGGATAGGATCAATAATTTACACTACTTGGTAAAAACAAAATAAGTAGAAATGTGCTCAATTTGTAACACAGAAAGTATACGTGTTATAAGTTAGGAAAAACTTTTAAAACTTGACATAGAATTCCTCAGTAGACAAGCAGCAAAGGAATGAAGAGCTGGATATGTATAAAACCTAGCTATTAGGGTTAAATCGAGGAATAATAAAGTCAATCCTATCATTGTATGCAAGGACATACTATATAAACCAGCCAAGATTACTTCCAGCCAAAATGATTCAATGAGTGAAAGCATCTTTCTTTGGGAAAACAGGAAAGAAAAGAATCATGTGAACACCTGTTACCTGTATTGATAATGTAACGAATGGCTCCAGGCCCTAATGTATCATATAGGGGGACCACCACCATAGAATAGGTGTAGCAAGCCAGTTCAGAAATGATCCACTGGAATGAAATATTAAAAAAAGGCAGGGTGGGGTGGGGAGAGAAAGAGAGGAAGTGATTAAAACCACTTGATAGATTAAAAATTTAAGGCAAGATCAAAACTCAGTAATGTTAATGCTGCATAAGGTCAAACTAAAATCTCACCTCTGGACGGTTTTGTGCAAAGACTCCGATAAACTGGCTTGTTGATGCCTTGCATCCCTGTTGAAGTAATCCTGATCCCAAAGCTTCTGCTCTTTCAGCGACCTGGAAGCAGGAGAGAGAAAGAACAGATAAGAAAGAGGAATGTAATTAACTGAAAATGTCAATGAATTATACCCAGGTAGATGGGCTCCAGTATGTTTTTGGGTAATACATAAAACTGGAACTCATCTCCCCTCTAGCCAACAGAAATCTCATGACACTTTCAGTGTAGTGCCTTGAACATATTACAGCTCTAATCATTCAATTCTACCTACATAAAACTCCCTTCATCAGTTTAACTTGTTGTAGTGCTTTTTATTTCTGGTCTATGAGCTAATGAACAGCTTGTATTTCTCAGTATAATATAGTATTTTGGGTAATACTGCACCACTATCCCACACCAGAAATGCTTGTATTGGTGTCTGATCACACTTATAAGCCCATTGAAGCACGAAGGAACTACAAGCATAAATAAACCAAGCAGGATTGCACCCAAGCTTTGAAACTTGAAAAGGATGGATGTTTTGTACATTTGTAATATTAGTCATTACTAAGCTCTCAGACCTGCAATGCGACAACTTAGTAGAAGCATAGAAGGATTACAGTAGATGTCGAAGGTCAGCCCCAAATAAAAAGAAGAAAATGGTCAAACCGAACGTTACCAAGTTCCCTGTGGATCACGTGCACTTTTAGAGTTCTTTTTAAAAGCAGTTACCTCTGGATGGAAAGGCTAACAACTCTTGGCGAAAGGCTGAAAGAGATTCACAATAACCTCACCTCCTTATACGACAACCATTGGTAAGGCTGCTTGGGTTTCCTGAATCCTAGGCAGGGACCATTTTCTAAACAAAATAAACAAAGATTAAAAAGTTATGGGGGTCTCCGAGCCAAGAGCTAATGCACTGCACAGTGCCCGGAGCACTCAGCGTTCTAAAAATAAGCTATTTGTCGTTAGCAAAGTCAATCCACATTTCTCGGAGCCAGAGTTTAGGTAGGGTGCTGTCAAACTAAAGGTGAGACAATCCTACATAATGGAGGATAGATATACAAGCTCCTAAACAGACTATTTCAAGACTTTATTCAAAGGAGAAGAGGTGGTGATAACAATGAACACATCAGCAGTACCATTGAAACATCTTTTTCCTAATTTAGCTTGAACTTTATTGTCTGGCAAATGCCTTCATGCCAACGCCACCTCCCACTGGATTAAAGGCGGGGGGTGCTCTTTAAATTAAGCTTTGTGAAGAAAGAAAACTACTACTAATAAAAATGAACTTCTACAAATGAGTGAAAGGCAAAGCCATATGCCTCACTGTGCAAAGGAGATGAGGATTTGGGATGTTATGCTTTTTTCTCTGTACTTCATCTCACATAATCCAGCTCTCTACTGAGGAATTTATGCTGCACATCACCATATTGCATCATGTAAAACAGTTACTACTTCACTGAGGGTTGTAGTGACATTGAAAAAAATAAGCATGTTTTGTTCAAATCATCAGCATTCCCCAAAAGGCATCATATACCCATGAACCTGCAGCAGGTTTGACCTAAATGCTATGAAAAGAAGCTGGAACTGCAAGTTCTTTGAGGCAGGGCATTTTGTCCTTGTACTACATCTAGCACAATTAGATCCTTGCCTATCACATATATTGCTGGTAGTAGTAATAACAACATAGACTGGATATTCTGAGATAATTAAATAAAAAGAATGAAGGCTTTTAGTGCACTTAATATAGACTTCATACATTATTCTAGGTGTCATTCAAGTTAACTGAAATGCAATTACATTTAAATACTTTTTCAAATTTTAAAGTTGGTGCAAAATTTTGTATTAAAAATGTATACATGCACTGTAAAATTTATCAGGGGAAAAGGCATGGAAAATGTGGTCATTTGCCATCTGGGAAAAGAGTGGAAGCTTTCAGCATAATGCACAAAATCTAGAAATCTTTGTAAAATGGCAACTTAGCTTCCCGAGCACAGTTCTACAACATGGGGTGGATTCACCCAAATTTTGCAGTATCGTGGGGTTCATGTGGCTTTGATTAGGACCTCCAGGATATACGTGTCTTTCTGTGCGTTCTCTCTCACACACATGCGCCTTTTTCTGTTTGTCTTTTCCTCAATTTATTACTCTCATATATAGACACACAAATAACTTTTAAAGAGTGTTGCCTTAAATTTACAGAGAACAAAAGCCAGAGTCCACGGCAATGGCTGTGATATGTCTATTTAAAATTTAAGTAAATATTATCAATTTAAATTTTATATGGGAAATGGAATTGGAGTGACTTTGCCCAGGGCCTCAAGCTGTAGTCCATGTAGTCCATGTTGGTATTAAGAGGCTGGAATTCACACTCCCAGTCCAAGATTTCTCAGATTCAAAACTCATATAATGAAAACCTGGGCTTACAAAGCTCCCTTTAATAAAGGTCAAACCCTTTTCCACTCTTTGATTTTTGTATCTCCTGCGCAGATATTCTGAGGCTAGCAAGGGGACAAAAGAAACAGCTTGTACCTAAACGCAGAGGGTGAAAAGGCAAAACTTAAGGAATTGTCATCTTCAGCTACTCCAGTTTGGCTCCTGTTGCCTTACTCAGACTAGTCCTGCCAACAAGGAAGTCACTGTTCAAACACAGGAAGACAGACAATGAATGCTCATTAATTCCTTTGCATACTAGGCATCTAAGCTAGGGGCAGAAGTTACACATAAACTGGTTTAAGTGATTGGAAACTGGTTTAAACCTGTAAAACAACAGAAGTTCAGTGCACATAAAGTGCTTTCAAAATGGCCGAAACAGGTTTAAGATAAACTTGGATGGGTGTAGTATCAGACTTAACTAATTTAGGTTAAATCAGTTTATTGAACTTCTGTCCCAGATTCAAGTTAACTCACAGCCCCCCCTGCATCCCAGGATGCTTTGCAACCCTGTACTGTACTGTACCGTCTGCTTCAATGGACCAAGGCTGGCCATGCCCTCAGCTGTCACAGAGCTAAGGCACAATGGGTGCTTATACACGAACACGGAGGCTTCTCCTATGCGCTGCAATTACAGTGTGTTGGAGCAGACTCAATTAATCTCTGATGCACTGTAATTACCATGCTCCAGCCAGCCACCACGTCTCGTGTATCAGCATCCCCGCACTTCAAAATGGCAGCGGGGCACTTGAACTAAAGCTTATCGAACGAGCTTTAGTTCAAGTGCCCTCAACACCCTTTTTAAGCACGGAGACACTGATACACAAGCCTCTGTGGCCCTTTAATTACAGTGGTTCTCAGAGCCACGCTAATTAAAGCACTGACCCCCACCCCACCTCTGGGGCATGTGTAAAAGGCCTGGGCCTGTCAGCCCAGTGGGAACAGACACCCAGGCCTCCTTAGCCCCAGGGGGAAAAGCCCCTGTGGTGGGAGTTTTTTGCTCCCTCCCTTGCAGTCCAGCAAGCCAGGCAGGGACCAGTGCAGCCCTGCCCTCTCCCTAGCATCTGCCTCCTGGAGGGGGGTAACTTACCCCTCCCCAATCCCGCCTGGCACTCACTCCGTCAGCTAGGGTCTGGGGGATGGGGAGGGGAAGCCCCCACCCAGGAGCTTCTTGCTTGCCCCCTGCACCTCTGACCAGACTGGGATTGGCTCAGACCCACCCCCTCCTCAGCCATCCACCTCCAAAGAGCTGAGGTCTGCCCAGCGTGGGGGGGGAGGGGGAAAGCACCCACTGGGAGAGGGCTTTTCTCTCCCTGACAGCTCAAGCCAGCTCCCGCCCTTCCCCAGCCCTCTGCCTCCCGGAGTGGGGTGGGGGGAAGCAGGGGGTGGGAGCCCCCATCAGGGTGCTTTCCCCTCCATGCTTAGCAGACATGGGCTGGGGCGGCCTGCCTCTCTTGCAGGCAGAGAGCTAGGAAATGGTCAGGCCTTGGGTGATCCCAGCCCAGTTTGAGCTGGGGGGTTGAAAAGATGCAGACCCATCGGCAGGGAGGCAGTGCAGGTTGGGGTGTGGGTGCATTGCCCCCTTGCACCCCTCCTCTCTCAGAGGCTGGTAGCTGGGGAAGGTGCATGGCTGGGGTGAGCCCAGCCAGGTTAGGAGCTGGAGGGTTGAGCGGGGGAAGACCCTGGTGGGTGCTCCTTCCCCCTCTGCTCCCCAGATCCCAGCTGCCAATCAGGCCCGGACTGCTGGTTCAACAGCCTTAGGCAACCTGGCCATGAAGGTGGTGCACATGAGCACCCCCAGGCTCCTGGCCTGGGCCAGTGCACGCTTCTGCCTGTCTTAGCCACCCAAACACTGAACATCAGTTCAGTTTGTTACTGATTCAGTCTAGGCATCTTAGGAAAAACTTCCAAGATTGAATTGATTTTGCCTGAGATTTTTTGAACTTCTGTACTTGGCCATGGAGGGTTCTATATAAACTATACATTTTAGTAGCACTCTTGTGTTCCTTTCTTTAGGACATTAACTATAACATTCATGTCAGAGTCCAGGAGAGATTTTGTGCTCACTTCCCTAACTTGAATTTCTGTGAAATAAATGCTCTCTTTATGCTTTCTATTCCCTGTGTGCTGCCTCCACTCTTTTATCTCTATTCAATTAAAGCAGCACTTTTTACAGACCACTATGTCCGATGTAGGTCAACAGAAGAAGTTCAGCTGTGGGAAGGCTTTAATTTATTGGCAAAGTGGGTAGCAAGTTGCAAAAACTTCTGCCATTTACAAAATCAGTGGCCCATTCCTGCAAGCCTCTTGCCTCTGAAGCTGCACACACAGTGCAGAAGTTCTGAAAACCAATGTACTTATGAAGATGTTTCAACATGGATGTAAGTGTTTTACTTTGCACCTGGGAGACTGAAAGATAAAGTCACAAGGTAACATTTTCTTATGTGCCAAAGTGATTTAAATGCTTGGAGAAAACCAAGGGATTTAGAAGTGTCCTGTTGGCATTAGTGCAAATTTACTCATAGTGCCCAATTCAGCAAAACTGCCATAACTTTCATGCTGTAGTGTCTCATGAAGGGGCCTTCATGGATGACATGCTGGTTGTGGTTGTTAAAAAGGCTGACAACAGACTGAACTTTCTTTACTTCTGCATCTAAAACTCCTAGGCTAGGGACAGAAATTACACATAAACTGGTATAAAGAATCAGAAACCAGATGAAATCTGTAACACAACAGAAGTTCAGTGCTCATAAACCACTTCAAAAATGACTGAAACTGGTTTAAGATAAACCTAGATGGATGGAATATCAGACTTCACTGTTTTAGGTTAAATCACTTTATTGAACTTCTGCCCCAGATTCCCTCCATATTCAAGTTAACTCACAGTCCCCCAGCATCCCAGGATGCTTTGCAAGGTGGGCAGGCTAGCCTTGGCCCAAGCTGTTTGCTCAGCCCAGGCCACTGCCAGCATGTGGCTATATTTCAAGAATCAAAAGGGAATGCCTGTTCGCTTCCTTATCGGTTCAATCTATGCAGCTTAGACTAACCTGCAAAGATTGAATTGACTCACCGTCAGGTTTTTTGACTGTCTGTACTTAGCCCTACAGGCCCACACATTGTTGGTCCTTAGGCTATGATTATAGAGTGAACTTACCATCCCTCAACAACAGCACCCTCAAGCATGCTGCACTGCCCCTTAAAGTGGAAGCAATGCAGCTGCATTTCTGAGACTTCATGAGTGCCTTAACTAGCCCTGTCATACAGCAGAGCTACATAGCCAGCCTGATGTGCTAAGTGGACACAGCTACATTGCTTCCAGTCAAGGGCAGACCCAGGATTGTGACATGGGAACGGAGCATATGCTCAGTGAAGAGAGCTCATGGTACATGTGCCATACAGCTGAAGGGGATGTGGCAACAAACCTTGGATCCTGGATGCCAGCGAGCTCTCAGCAGCTCCTATTGGAGTGCTGCAGCATCTGCCTGGAGTCCCCATTTTCAAGCAGCTCTGGAGCCTGCTGCTTTTGCTTTTCCCCTCCCCTGCCGCTGAATTGAGCAGCAGGGAAAGGAGGAGGCAGAAGGAGCAGTGGCAGCCTAGAGCCTTGGAGCTGAGTGAAACCAGGGGCTGTGAGTCACTAATGCTTCTTCCCCCCCCCCCCCCCCCCCCCCCTTCCTCTCTCCTAGGCTCTTTCCCCCCCCCCCCCTGCTCCTTTCTCCTGCTGCGCAGTTCAGGGGTGGGGAGGGGAAGAGCAAAGAGAAGCAGGCTCCAGAGCTGCCTGCAAGAAGGGAGCCTGGGCAGAGCCCGTGCCTACATGCAGTGAGCGCATAGCCATAAGCACTAAGCAGCACATACAGAGCTCCTAGCAGAAGCTGCACTGAAGTACCAAAGAGCTCCAGGAGTTTAGCACGGTGCAAGGCGCAGCCCAAGTGTGGTGTGACTGCACTGTCACACCCTTTCTGAGTCTGCCCCTGCTTCCAGTATAGGAGGTGGCCTGCAGCAAACAGCACAGTGACATAGCAGCTTAGTCCAACCTTAATCAACGGCAAAACTCTAACGGACTTTGCTGGAAACAAGACTGGGCTCTCCTAGTATCACACGGCAGTCCTTTGTAAAGGCTACAAAACCAGTTCTATCCTCTGACCAGCCAGACAGCAGCACTGGGGGGCTGCGAGATGATCTTACATGTCATCAAACACTTACCAGATATGTTGAATCCACGTCTAAATACTTCATACATTGTCCTTGCATCGTCGTAGTAGTGAGTTAGCAGTTGTGGGCAGTCCCCTATCACAGACCGCCGAGCTCCATCCAGGCCCTGTGGAAAAGAAAACAACATCTAATGAAGAAGCTGCAGGATCAAGCAGTGGTATCAAGCACAGGATCAAGCAGTGGTATCAAACACAAAGCTTGTTATAATTTTTTATGGATCTATCATAAGCTCATGTGTGCAGCCAGTACAATACACGGATTGCGAGTTCCAGGTAATGAAAAGTGTTTTTTTGTGGGACATGCTGAATTATAGAGTTGTTTAAGCCTGGCCATAAATTCTTGCTTTTGGCTAAAATCACCCATAGAAGTCAGACAGGAAGGTTTGCTGATATTGCCCTCAACCCCTCGCAAAACCCCTGCTGTTTTGCTTCCCCCAAAACAGAAACGTATAAAAGCTACCAGGTTTTCTAAAGTGAAGCATCCTGTGCAATTCATTTCATAGGCACACTTCTTTTTTAATAAATGATTTTTTCAATCATTTTCTGTCACTCCAAAGCTTACGGTTCTGTACATAAAACAGAGGAAGAAAATAACTGAGCCCCCAGCCAATGAACTAGGAGTACAAGGCTTTTGGGTTGGTCCTGAGAAACGAGTCACTTCACCACTGGATACTGATCTCTGCGGTCACTCCAATCACAAATGACTTCTCCCTTTCACCCTCCCTTAACACAGAGACAAATTCTAGTCAGGCATAAAACTTTCTTTTTTTTCCTAAGAAACTAAATAGATATCTATATTCTTACCACTTCTCTTTTAACTTTTTAGAACAGTTAAAGTTCCAAACAACTTTTGAGAATATTTATGAATGTACTGGGATGAGGGACGAATGTTTCTAGAATCAAACATCATTAAGTACAAACATCATTAATAATCTCTTTGGTTGGTTTTAATTGACTTCTCTTCTTCCTTTAAAAATGTTATATATTTAAGATGAAATTTTGCAGGCCATTAATCGATTACTTTATTGAATAAGTCATTCAGAACTATATCGTCCTAGATACCTCACATATACGGTATCTGTCATTCAGAAGAATTTTGCAGTCCGGTCATAAATTTTTTGATGGTGGCTATTTCTTGGGTGTAATACAATAGGGGCTGAATAGCACACACAAGAATTGAAGATACCAAATGAATACTATCTTGAAAATGAAAAGGAAATGTGTCAGCTTGCCATTTGGGGTCTAACGCATCCTACCCTTGCAAAAGGGGGAATTTGTCTACTGACATCAACTAAACCAGGATTCCACCTGGTAGAATTAGAAAGCTTACTTTCCATCACCACAGCATCTCCCAATGCCATGTTTAGACTACTGGCGTAATAGTAACTCAAACGGACTGAATCAGCAACATCACAGCAGCAATCTAGTTTTACTCTGGGGGTTTCCTGTGTAAGTACTTTCCAGGCTTAACTCTATTTAACCTGCACTGTCTAGAACAATCGCAGCTCAAAATAACCCCCCTGCAACCGCAGGTTTCACTTTAAGAAACAGGTGATAGACTATTTTAGAAGCATTGTGCCAACACTGGGCTATGTATGAATGCACAGGTTAATCCCATCCAGAGAAGTCACTCAAACCTCTGGTTTAACACATTCACAGATCTCACAAACAGAGCAATCTAACAGGGATCCTTCAGTGTCATAGTAACATTGTAAAGTTCCCAGAAGAGCTGGATGAAGAAACTGGCTAACCTAACAAATAGCAGGGCCTTAAAAATACTACAGAAGCCAAAATCTAGCAAACCCTCCCTAATAAAAAATATTCAACAAAATCTATTTGTTAAGGGAAGACTGTAAAGGTCCACAGGAAACAACCAACCAGTCAGAATTTTGGAACAGACACTTATTTATGGGACAATATATCTTTATGGCTTTTACTTTTTGAACAATTCAATGATTTTAAGACAAGAAGAAACTTATGATCATCTCACTTGAACTCTTGCATAAAAAGCCCAACGTCCTCAACCCAACAATTTCTGTATCAAGCCCGTATCTTCCTTGAGAGCTAGAGCGTATCTTTCAGAAAAACACCCTAGCTTGTCTTAAGGGCTGCATGAAGAATGGATGATGGAAGAATCCATTGAGTGGCTTTCTACGTTGTTCTACTGTGCTATTACTCTTCAGGTTGACTTTGTGAACATCCAACCATTGGTTTCTTCATGAATTTTCATCTGGATGAAGTAGCTCATATTTAAAACAAAAACAATACCTTGTAGTCTCATGAAATATATATTCTATTCAGTACAGAGACTGACATGCTATACTGGTACTGCTACCAACCTCATAAAGAACTCAAGCAGAAACTCAGACAAAAATCAGTAAAGCCAAACACAAAATTTGCCTGTTTTATGCTGATACGTATTCTGGTATCAAAGGGAACTTTCAAAAGGCACAATATGTTTTTACTTTTATGCTGGATCTTAGATATCATGCTCCCTTAAAGTCCGTGAGATAAAAACTCTAATCTTTTCAGTATAGACATTTATCAAGAAAAGTAGAGAAATGTGCAAATTGGATAGTTTTTTTTTTTTAATTTCCATAAAATGTTTTTCAGATGTTCAATTTTTCAGTTTATGGAAAAAATATCTACCAGAAAGTTCCATCAGTATATTCTGGCAATTATTTTCCATAAATTTTTTGTTTTGGTCACAAAGCCAGTTTTTAATTGTAAAAAGGTTTTCACCAGCTTTATATAAACACTATATAAAAATCATAACTGTATATAAGTAACCGTGTATAAAGGAGGAATGCTATTACCTCAAGCTGTATGTGAAGCCAAAAGTTACAAAGAAATATATGTACGAAAAGTTCCAACTTCATACAATCTAAACGTATCTCAGCATGCTAGCATTGACCATCTCTGCTAGTGACAATCAGCTTGTTTAAAAAGAGTAGAAATCATTGCACGTAGTAGGTTCACTAGCTGCCTATATGTTACCATCCCAAGAAGTTAAGAGATTCAGATGAAATTGTGAAATGAACCTTAGCATTCATATAACATGAAAACTGCTTCCAGAAAAAAATAAATAAATGCCGCCCCCCCAGGAAAAACATTAAAAACCACCCCAAAAAACAAATAAGCATTGAGATAATTTCTCCAGAAATAAACATAACATATAGCACTCCATACTGGAGCTGGAGGCAACTTATGCTCCCAAAGATTTTTGAAGAACAACTATAAACTGGTAAATGATGGAAGCAAAATGTAAACAGTAAACTAATAAGCTGACATATGGGCGGCTCCCTGCTGTAACTTGTGACACTTTACGGGAAGTGCCATGAGTCACAGAGACCCCCCTCCCCGCCCCAACCCAACAGACATTCCCTGTTGGGTCCAGGGGGTTGGGGGATCAAAGCTCCAGTTTCGTGTCTGCATCCTCTCTCCTAGCCCTGCCCCCACCCCTGCCTCTTAGATCCAGTGCTGTCCTCAGCATGGGAGCAGGGAAAGGGAGAGGAGGGAGTTCGGTCTGGGGTTTGCCCAGCCTGTGCTGGAGGTGGAGTGGGTGGATTGGAGGCCCCCCAGTCCACTTGCCCTTTCCAGCACAGGCTGGGAAAACCACAGTCCAAACTCCCTGAAGAAAGCAGTGGCAGAGCTGGGCTGCATCAGGCCAGCCCTGCTCCCAGTGCACTGACAGAAGTTAATGAAGGTGCTCCACTTTCTAGCACCTTCATTTGAAAACCCATGCAATGAGGGTTCATTTGCCATGTGATCGGACCCTTTTAAAGCACTCTGCAGCTGTGTACATCTGTCAGGGCATGGCTGTAGAGCGTTTTCAGGGGGTCAGTTGTTCAACAAAACATCACTTCTGTCAGCACTCTCTATTACTGAGGAAGAAACCCAAACAGAACTCTGGGTTGTAGCAATTTATTAACAGCCTCACCCCTGAAATCATAGTGATAACGATGTAGGTGGAGCTAAGTGCAGCTTCATGCAGTAGCTTGGCAGTGCAGCAGCAAAAGTGAGAATAGCCTGCAAAAGCTCTCCGCCCTTTTAAAAAGGGAATGCTAACAGCACTTTGGGACACATTTGTCTCCTGATGCAGCAGGATTTGGAAGAAGGATGTAGGTCTCCCTGGGCACATCTACACGTTCATTAATGAACTGCAGTTACTGTACATTAAGTTTAATACTTGTATAATCAAGTACTAAATAAATGCTCAGTAACTGGAGTTACTGACCAGTAGTGCCGGTGCACACCTTTTTAGTGATGCTACTGTGCAGTAGCCTAATCATACTGCGCAGCAGTGTATTAGCACTGTTTGTGCTGTGACGTGCTACCGTGCAGTATTATTAGTCTACTGCGCAGTTAGCATCTCGTGTAGATGCACCCCCTATGTAGGTAATGTTCACTCTCCTGTATGCTATGGTTTCACCTTCATGAGAGCTGCCTGTTGCTCAAGGAAAGGGATAATCAGAGAACAAGATGGAGATGGTAGACTGGCTGCAATGAGGATCTGCTCCCCATTGTCCCTGACAGGGAGATGAGGCACGGAGGCTATTTTGGCAATGAGGCTTCTCTTCTGTGTGTAGATCCAGTGAGGGGCTAGATCTTTTCCTTAGCCAACTCCTGGAAACTCCACAGCAGTCCCGGGCCTGGAAAGAGGATTTGGACAAAGATGCATAGAGCCTGAACGTTCCACAAAAGGCAATGGGCTGGCAAACACAAACCACCTGCTACATCTGGACATCAAGGGAATCAGCCAAGTTCTGCTACTAACTCAGCCTCCCAGAATAATTCAGCCATAGCTTTGGACTCTCTTTGCGCCATGTACTGTTGTGCATTCCCCTCATCTCCCTGGTATCTCTAACGTTCCTGTGCCTATGAGCACACAATGTGCTGTTGCCTATGTATTGTCTTTTAGAGAGAGAGAGAGAGAGAGAGGATATTAGTGACAACAGCTCCCATGTGATAGATTCTCGACAATACCCTCAGACTCACGCAGCACAAATCAGCTCAATGAACTCACCGTCCCCAGTGAGGCCATTTCCTTTCATACAGCAATTGTGACTGTGGCTAACCCCAGAGTAACACTTAGCACCCTGCATTTCCTTCTATTTCTATCAGTCGGGTTGAGAGCACAGTTCAGCCAATAATGTGGGGCACCTGATGTTTTACATGGGGAATCTCATGGAAATGCAACTAACTTGCCTTGTCCATTTCCATAATGGATATCATTACCTGCCTTTTTAATACTGAGATTTCAATGGGGTTTTTTTATGAACATCAGTTAATTCTCTCAACATCCCAGGACTCCAGACAGGTTTTATCAGACTTGCTTCCTGAGTGAGCAACCCAAGAAAGAGAGAAGTTGAGTGGCTTGCCTAAGTCATAGGGGGAGTCAGAAGCCAGGAGGGAGAAAGAAATCTATCACCTTGCTTCTAATCACAAATCACAGGACATCTCAATTTTTATCTATGCTTGTTATCATTCAGGACAGTGAAATTCTGTTAAAGGAGAAACAATCAATACACTTTTAGCCCACAGTAGTATTAATTTGATGTGAGAGAAAATACAAGAATATTCTTGAAAAGTAACATGAGACAGCTTCATTTACAACTTAAGGCTCCTTCAAAGCACCGGGAGCAGGTAAAAGTCCACCCCAGGCTTTGGTTAAGGTGTAATTTTTCACAGTATAACCAAGCCTGCAGCAGTCACTATGACTGCATACGTGCGTAGTGGTACCAGATATTATCAGTGTCACCATTTGTGTAAACAATAAACTATGGTTTCTTTTTAGTGGCATTTACTGTAATTTTCCTGGGCCCCATGGTTACACGAGATACAGACTACAAGGGGGAGAATCACGGTGTTTTCCAGGAGTTTAAAAGGAAGAAGCAATCATGGGTCAAATTAACCTATGGTGCAATGGCCTGTGTAAGTCAGCTCAAGTGTCTTGCAGAGCATGCACAATAAATAGGGAAAGCCTGGTTTGCAGCAGCCTTACATCCTGTAGAACCACTTGCACCCATGTGAAGTGGTTGTAAAAGCCTACTCATACTGCAGGGCTATAAATGCCTATGCAAGATAAAAGGCAGTAGAATCAGCCCCCAAAATCTATATTCCACAGCCTCCAGTCACACCTCTGCATTTGTAAGTCTGAATATAAATAGTGCTCGCCTTACCTCAACTTCTTCTGACTGCAGCAGCAGGTCACATGGGGGCTTTACAGCCTTCGGCCGGCTAGCAAACCAGTATGCGACAACAGCTGCAAAGGCACCAATGCCCACTAACGCGGTGGCCGGCAAGTTGCGAAAAAATTGGCTGAAGTCATCAAATTCAGGCAGCCGCAGACTCCTCAGAATTTCCTGTGCTTGCATCCTTTCAATGATTGAAATGGCGAACTCTGTAAGGCCAAAGGAAAATAATCCTTTACTACAAGGGGATTGGCAGACACAGCCGGCATAAGCAGCAGAGAACCGTACTTCTTAGGAAGGCAGGCAAAGAAATGGATTTTTTTCCAGCCTCTTATGCATCTACTGCTATGCTGACCCATTTACCCAGCTGTCCACAAAACAAGCCTAGCTGCAAACAAACGGCACGGAAAAAAAGGCTGATTAGCAACAGGGCAACAGACATCCTACAGAGGGTGATTCTGGGACATGGCAAGTGGCTGACTCCCAGAAGAGATGGTGACTTGATGTTTTTTTATTGGCAAGATGGTTAGGTTTGGTGACAAGCACATGCCAGCCTGACGTGGCAGCAGACGTTCCATAGAGGGATCCACTGCTTCCGTCAGCAAGGCGGTCGTCCAACGTTACACACTTCACAGTCATTACAGAGCAGCATATTTAAAAACAACATACTAGGAAAAGAATTGAGCAGCAGATATTTAAAACTCTTCTTTTCTATGTTGCAATCCTTGATCTTTGAGGATGCCTGTAATTTTTTGCCCATTATGGATTGAAGTTCTTTCAAGCCACCTGCTTACAGTTGTAGGCCTCAATTCCCTTTTTTTTTTTAGCACCATTCACACAGTTAAATATAGAAAATAAAATTATTCTCCCTTTATTTTTTTTTAACGCTCCCAAGCTGGCTGAAAAACAGCCCAATTAATTTGCATATTGGTTTTGTATGTGTGTGAAGTACAAATAAAGAAAAAGCTAAAGTGAAGGGAGGAATTACACTTGTAATTCTTCTGTCAAAAGGAGAGAGTTCCAGGGTCTAAGTCCAGCTCCTGAGAAAGTTATACCTTCTCTGGTCATAAGCTTTCCCCTAGTTAGTCAACAGTTTCATGCTTTGGATGGGAGGTAGGGTGTCCCAGATGGCCATGAGTGATCCCACAGTAGGTTCAGAGCATGTTTAAAAGATAAATTGGCCATCCTTCCTTGAAGCGTGCTACAGGCAAGCTGACCTATAAACTGAAGACTTGGTAGCCAGTGCCATCTGGTGCTTCAGGTGGGCTAATTAGCAAAACTGGCAGTGCCAACTACCTTCCCCAAGCTAATTAGCCCACCCACACAGCTGGGGTCACATTGCTTCTCATTTGGAAAGCTGCCAACCGGAGCAGCACAGCATGCTTGAGAGAACCCACAACAATGATAGCAAGTTTACCACCTTCACTTCTACAACAGCCAAGAGAGACCTTAAACTCTGAAGCCAGTGCAGGGAATAAAGCACCCGCATGGTGCCATCATATTGCATGGAGCTTTCATGTTTCGTACCAAGTGGAGCCTTCTCACGCTCCTTCATTTCATTTCTATTTGTACCGAATTGCACTAATCAAGCCTAGGGCTCAGGAACATGTGGCCCACCATGTTCTGACCAATATTTGACAGGGATGGGGCACAATCTTCAGGCCAGTAGCAGATGACAGCAAATGTTTTAGGCCACGTTGGCCGTGGGTACTTGACCCTGAACCGAGGTGTTTTTTACTGTACTTTTTTCTGGCTGCATCTTTTCTTTTCATCAGAGGTACAGAAGGGAGACAAGAATGAACAGGAAGAAAAATCCTTTGAGTTGCAGATCCTCAGCTTAAACGGGGGCACTGTCAAGGTTGTTAGGCATTAACATTAACTTATATTGACAATCACCCCATGTGGTAAGTCTGGCCCTACAAAGGCTAGCCATGGAATTGAAATGATTTGCTTTCCTTGCAGAACTACAGTCAAAGGGGAGGAAGCATATAACCTCAATTTTTCTACTTCCTTCCATAAAAAGAGCAGTCTGCGTAGGAGATATTCTCTGAGACAAGTCAGCTAACTTGTCACAGTCATGGAAACACCTAGGAATTTCAAAATCACTCCCCTTTAGAGCTCAGGAAGTTGTGTTTTTTTGGTGGTATAAAGAGGAGGGGGGTCCTGGCATCTCTGCTTCTTTCTTGTATCAGTGCAGTGGAGCTTTTTCATAAATAAAACAGGCAAGTATTTGAACTGGAACACGTCTAAGTACAACTGTAGCTGGCAGAGTCATTCAATACACCAAGCAAGCGAGCCAGGCCTTACTCAGAGCTGGTATGCATGTATGTACAGCAGCCAATGAGTGGGGAAGCCGTCACTGTCTAGGAGCTGGAACAGGCATCTTGGCTTCTCCTCCCACTCCATAATTTGTCTTGTGGAATTCCCAAGTACGACAAGATCCCTTTGGTGTAGGAAAGCCCCAGTCTTCTTCTCATGTCTCTACACTGCATTTGACCTTTTTGTTACAAATGTTCGTGTTTGTTTATTGTACTTAGCAAAATCTTTCATTGTACGTGTGCTTTCACGTAGCGGGCATTGCAGCAGGTATGGCATGGTCTGAGGCTCTGTGCCACAGTCACAGGTGGTTGAACCAATGATAGCCCCACTTCTTCATTAGTTCCTTGGAGTGTCTGACAGATGAGACATCACCACCTTGGCCATGGTTCATCAACCCCTGGTGGTAAAGATTCATCCGATGGACTGTCAATTTTTCCACTGTCAGGTATTTTCTTCAGCCTCTCGTTCCACATTTGTAGTCACATCTCCTTGGGTGTGGTAACGAGAGGTTGGGTGCTAGTGAGGAAGCTCCTACATGATTTCAGATATTTGTGTGCTGTGGGATGGCCATATAACTACTGTCTCATATCTTCATTGTTGTATCCTGCTGGCTGCTGCTGTTCTGATGTTAGGGAGAGCGATGCCAGCCAGCAGGTACATGCTGTTTAGGCTGGTAGGCATCAGACATCCTGTGATGCATCAGCACCTATCATTCAGGATCAGGTCAAGGCACTTAGCATGAAAAGATCTCTTCTATACAAGACATGCATACTCACCAGAGGAAAAGCTGAGAGCCAGAGCAGTGGTTTGGATGGTTGAGGGGTTACCTCCCCATTTTGAGTTGGTGAACTTATATAAAATGTTGTTATGAGTGCTCACCTTTGCTTTTGTCTTCATGATGTGTTCTTTGTTCTAGAGGGTTCAGTCGAGAGGTTGCTCGATAATGCAGACAGGAGCATTATCAAGTTCCCTTGCCTTTTATTTTTTTGTGATAAAAATCTAAAGGATGCAGTCCTCACTCTCTGCAATGGCTTCTGGGCCTCCTGCACAAAGAGTCCAACTTTCTCCCTCGCACAGGTGTAAACAGGAAGTTATTCCATTAATGTCAGTGGAACTACATTGGTGGGAAACTGATACGTGTGCAGATTTGTCAACGGTAGAGTACACAAGAAGCTGTAGCAAGTGTTTTCAATACCTGCCTGAAACGGACTGAGAAAAATAAACTCTGAAGAGACCTCTTAGCTTTAAACCTACAAAGGAAAATTAGGTAAATGACTGGGATGGGAAAGGAGTTAAAGGGTTAATGGTCTCCTTTCAGCCAGGGCACAATTTAAGTCTGCATCAGTGGTCAGACTTCTAGAGAAAAAAACCCCAACTTTTATGATAAAGGAATCTAAGCATCCTTTTTCCTCTTGCCCTCTGGCCTCTTTTCAGTCTGCATAGTCACTGGGTGATTAATGGAAGCCATTCTGTTCCCAGGAAGGGGGACCAAGGATTTAATAGACAAAAGAAGCACTGAAATGAACAAAGACCATGCTTTTCGTCCTGGGACTTAGGATACACTGAAGGTCAGGCCTATTATCTCCAATGCATTTTTTGTTACTTCATGCTGACTCTGCTCAGGAGAACTGTTCTAGCAGTGGCAGATGAGTAATATTATATATACACATCTAGATACAGACCGATACACACACACAGTATATATTCAATATATATTTAATAGTATGCATAGCTTGGACACAAATGTAACCTAAAAGCGACCCTGCCCCCACACCTTTCTTCCCCCAAATGACTTGAAACCTTAGCATATGGCAAAAGAAAAAGGAGGAGCGTAGGGTACGAGGACAGTGAAACAAAACTTGTGTTTTTTTGGTAAACAGCAGCCAAGTGTCTGGCTGTACAGATGCTCATTTGCAGGGAAAGGCGGCACCTGAGCAGACTCTTATTGGGTCTCTATGTGGGTCCCCTACACGGAAGGGGTTTGTGCATTTGTCCCTGCATACATTTATCATCCTCCCTAACAGATACAAAAAATCAAACTAGCACTAATGTCAGGACCCTGGTTGGGGCCTCTAAGCCCTTCAGCAATAATCATAAATATTAATAGAACATTTGCCCTATGTTTCTGTTTAGAAATGTCTTTCTCTGTCCATCTAAGCACTTTTCCAGAGATCTGATTTTTCATGTAGCATCCAATTATACTGTTCTGGGAAATCAGCCTCACTTTCAAAAACAGCAGCCCCTACTGGGTCACAGTTAGCACAGCTGACTAATAAGCAGGCATGTCCCAAGCATCAATTCCTTTGCCCTGCAACAGCATTTCCACAACACTATACTAGCCATGATTTAAAAAATAATCAATTTGCAAAACTGCAGGTTTTCACTACCAGGCCACTGCAATGCTGCAGAGGTCATTGCAAATCAATGCATTTTTCTGCAAACAGACAATTAGTCCAAAAGTTTCATCCAGCTCTGCTTGACCACACTCTCTTCCAAACCACACTCACTCCTAAGTTAATTGGCAAAGTTTGTGAGTTGGTGCCTGTGAAAGGGAGAAAGGATTTGGCTAGTGTTCTGATTAAATTGTATGTTGTCCCTGTCCTTGTGATTTGGATAACACCTGTGTCAACAACCATCTGTGAGCAGTAATGTAGCCACCTATCAAGCAAATACTAAACAAGAAACTAGGAAAAAGGTTTAGAGGGAAAAAAGAAAATATATGTACAGTTTGGAAGGTCAAAGGTCCAAGAATTCAAGCTTCTTCACTACAGATATTGTATTTAACATGCTTATACTTAATATCAGGGATTATTCATTGAGCATTATGTACTCAAGGTAAACTTTGGGAGCTGAGACTGCGACAAGAGACCTAGACCTCGGTTGCCTGAAG